GAAGAATATTGTTTGTGCAAGTACTTGTGTTTCTTATACTCAGCGATATCTAGGAAGTCTGTTAATTCATCAAATCTTTTCTGTTTCTTGTTTGGTGAGTTTGTGACTAAATCTCAAAGGCATTCCATTTCTCCGATCGCCAAAAAGGCATACAAGTTAAATGTTGAATCAAAGGTAGATGAGGGGTAAGTGTTGTTCACCAGAGAGCTGTTGCTCGTGTTGCATCTGCTATTTAAGGGCCTGGTTTCTTGGAACCCACCTATCACATGCTTTTGCCATACCACAGTTGTGGATAAAACCTAGAGACCACATTACAGATTGCTACTTTCGTTTAACAAAAGTAACAGGAATATCAAGTACATCAAGACAGTTTCTTATTCAAATTTGGAATCTGCAACATGCCCAGTTCCATTCTGATTCTCTCCCAGTTCAGAAACCACCAATGGAGTAGACAATGAAAGATGAAAGAGACAATGGTAGTGACAAACCAACAGATTATAAAGATCTTGATTACACATTATCTGCAGCATGGCTGCAACCACTGCCATAGTCGCAGGCAGAATTGAACAAATTTTTAAGATATCTAAATCATTCGAAGAGGGAGGTAGAATTAGAAGAGTGTCTTCAAGAAAAGAACCTGTTACAGCCAAACATTAGTATTACATTCCAAAAAAGACCGCTTAATCTCCTCTTTTTCTCAATGAATATAGTGTGGTGCATTGTAATGACATAAATGGGCTGCTTACAAAATTTGGGATGATTCACAATCTGGAAGAATGGCACCTAACGATAGATTCCCCAAAGAGTAGTCACAAAGCTGTTCTTACATAATATAAATGAGAAACCTTCGCTACTTGTGGCCCTTTCTGTTAAGTTAAAGAAAATGTATGAGAACATGAGGCTAGTCCTAATATGTGCTGGTTGTTCAAATCTCAAATGGAAAATCTGTAATTTTCTCAAAATTCTAGATCCTCTTCTTAGAATGCAGACTAATTACCCAAAATATTGCTGTTTCTTGTGCCACTGGGAGAGTATGTAGTCAAAGAGTGGTCTTAGGAGAGAAATTTTCAATCCTGGTGAAAAATGTATATGCCCTTGTTGGCAAAGTCACTGAGATGATACCACCATTCCATCTGAAATTGCTTTGTGAAGAATTCAGTGAAACTAATGGACAAAGATGGCCAGGATTTTCAACTTTGACTATCTAAAGTTCCTGCACTTGGTTCTGCAAAAATTAAAGAAGGAATTTTCAATGGACTTAAGATCCCTGACTTGTTGAAAGATATTACCTCTGAATAGTTGATGACGTATTGAGAAGGCAGCTTGACTTTCATTGAAAAATGTATTGGGAATTGTAAAGTCTGAGTATTAGGGAACTGACGGAATACACGCTGGAATATTACAAGTCTGTGAGGTGCAACATATTTCTGAAATTACATTTCCTTCACTCCCACTTGGATTTCTTCCCATGTAATCTCAGAAATGTGTGTGAGGAACATTATGACAGATTTCACCAAGATATCTTTGCCATGGAAAGACAATATAAGGGAAGATGGTCACTAATCTTGGACATGCTGGGCACTCCTACAAAAGGTATCACCATGCACCCACAAATGGAAAGTTTCCAAGAAACGTTTCTAACTTGTAAGTACATTTCAAGCTCTATTCAGATTTCCTATAGTGTTTTCATTTTACTTTTTGTATTACAAATAAGTTTTGTTATATAATCTGCTGATTAATACACTAGAGATTCCTGTACTGTTATTAAGTAATTTCCAAGTTTTCCCGAAAGTATACGTGGTCTATCTTTTCCATGAAAACTGATGGAACGTTTAAGATTTCATTTTCGCAATCAGCGTATGTGTTTTAGTAAAGAACATGTTCTTTCATCTGGAGGCAAGACACAAAGTTCAGATTTGTTGTTGCACTGTGTTATTAGGCAACTTTTATTTATTACTCCTTTGTAGCAAACAATTCAAGACACGCTGATATGTGATATCAAAATTAGATTGGCTATGTGCTATTGCATGGATATTCATTCAAAATGTGATTGGCTGTTTGTCATTGTACTATCTTACTTTTACTTTCTCCTTTCTTTGAGTTTTCCTGTGTTTGCATGTTGTTTCGGTCAAGATCTACATTTAAGTGGTCGATGTTTCAAGAGAACAATATGAATACTAATACAGTAAAATCTGTCTAAGGCAGAACCCTGCCGTCCCAGACAAAACAATCACAGAACGGAACAATTTTAAATGTGAAAATGACCTCTATAAGCTGGAAGCCTGTCTAACTTGGAAACTGAATGATTTTTAGAGATCATAAAGTGATTATTACTTGTCTAAGAAGGAAATTTATTTTTAAATTTCTGGTACTGTCTTTGAAATGGCATAGTGCAAAGGGTCACATCCTGAGACAATAGAGGTAATAATAAATTTTTTGTCATACCTGCTGTTGGGGAATCTTTGGCCAATACAGTGATAATCTCATGCTTTGGTCATAAGATGAACATAAATGAACTATAACCTTAGTCTATGCTTTGGTGTGATTTTTGCACCACTTTCTTGCTGTCCCTCTGAATCCTTGTTGCTTGTCCACACCCTGGTCAAATTTCAAATGCGTCACCAGTTCTCCTTCAGGTGACAGTAGAATTCTGGTGATTCTGTCGTGTCATCTTAGCATAGCATATTGTACATACACACATTTAGTTGTAAAATTTGGAATAAATGCTAATCCCATATTATCCGTGTTATGCTGTTATTCTGATTACTGTTATGCTGATTTTTTTTTATTTCCTGTAATATTTTCATTGATAAATTATACTTTATTTATGTTATAAGGTATATTTCAGTTATGTGGTGAATTTTTGACAACCCTCTATAGGATGGAAACCTGACAAGACAAAATTGTTTGACGGAACCATCAGATTCCCTATTAGACAGGTTTTACTGTATTAATTTTGCTGGTCTGAAGAAGAAAGGTACAAATGATATCCACTCCAAAACAAGAACATTCTTGGCTTGGGATGTAATGTACATATGATACTTCTTGTTGATATTGAAAGCATAGGCATGTGTAGAGGGAGTTGCTTTAATTCTGCAATTTCTTTCATTGTTGCTTAATCTAACTCAAAGGAGAGAATCATAGCACTGGAATCTTACATTAATCTCAACAGAGTGGGTGAGAAATTTTGGCAAGGAATGAAGACAAATTTACTCCTAATTTCAGTGAGAAACTGACCATTGTAGAAAAAGCACTGCATAAAGGAACAATTTCTCACTGTATCAAGAAACTTCTATTCTATTAAATATAGCACCACTTCTGTGAAGATATTAAGGTATATGGAATGTATTTGGCTTAGAACTTCTCCACAGAGAGAAAACTTGGAAGAACTTCCAATATTCCTTAATATATAGGAGTTCACATATATGGAGATCAAATATTTTATGAAATATTTCCTTTGAAAGAATATGTAACAAATGAAAAGATAACCAAATGGAGTGAAGGTGGTTCTGATGTGCGTTCTAGATGGAGTGTAATTTTTTTATCCTCAGCTACAATAGTTAATTGAACTCTTGTCTCCACCTACCAGTAAGTAATGCTGCAGTTCACCACTCCAATCATTTCTATACTTTTCTTCTTTAAAAGTTCATCCATTGATTTCTTATATGAACATGACATCTCAGAGATCACAACTTACAGATGCAACAAAAGCTATGTTAGTTGTAACTTTCCCAAGACATGTTAAGAATTTGGTACAAAACTGGAGATGTGAATTGATCACAGAAAAGTCCACTCTTCTCGAAAATTAAAACCATTGAAGAATGAAGACGACCCTTGATTTACATTTATGTAATAGTTTTAATGTATTATCTTGGTAATAAAGACAGACCACATATCCAACTTGTCATTCCAAAAGAAATTAGAGCATCCTCAGATCCAGTGATAAGAAACAAGCCATCTTAATTTAGGCATACAACTTTTTGGGGTCCTTGAATTATGAGCAATGTTTTGGTCATCAAAATCCACCCTCTAATTATTATAATATATGTTACAAGCTAACATGATAATAATGATTTACATAATTATCATAACTAATTTCAATACAGCTTGTTAGTATAGATTATTGACCAAGCATGAATGCAAGGTGTACAAACCAAGTATTCAGTAAAAATTAATCATTGGTCATTGTTATAGTAAATATTTTGCTCTATTGAAATGACTCGTGGAAAGAAAACAGCTCTGTGACAAAAATGGTGAATGTGAATGTATCAGATATGAAATATTGATTGAAGTGTGAGAAATTCAGAATCTATAACTAGGTTTATCTTGTATTAATTTTCATTCATCTTAGAAAAAAGGAAAATTTAGTACAAGACTTGATGTATTGGTCATAAATACACTCATTTGAAGAGTATCACACAAACTCGTTCTTCGTTCATGTTATAACTAGTTTTATAATATTCTCAAAAAATTTTCCTGATTTTTAACAATTCTACAAAATCCATGATTTGTCCCCTGCCTCTCCAGAGAAATTAAATTCCCTGATTTTTTTAGGTTTTCTGTTCTTCAGAAAGTTCCCACTCTGTT